GAGTCTCACTCTGTTGCCCAGACTGGAGTGCAGTGGCCACTCCCGGCCACCGCAGCCTCGACCTGCTGGGCTCCGGCGATCCTTCCGCCTCAGTCTTCCGAGTAGCCGGAATTACAGGCACGCCCTACCACACCCGGCTGATTTTTTGATTTATTGTAGAGATGAGGTCTCGCTGCCCAGGTGGGTCTCGAACCCGCGGGCTCAGGCAATCCACTCACCTCAGCCTCCCAAAAGCTCAGGATTACAGGCTGAGCCACCGAGCCCGGCTGCAAGGACTACTTTTAAGGCAGTTAGCCCAACAGCCGACATAGAACAAAGAATCCTGATTACCCTTAGGCAATACGGAGGTGAGGCTGCAACAGAACACAGACCACCCTATTTCTAGTCTGCAGCACTAATATACAGATTAGAGAGCCTCAAGGTATGTTCATTAGAACTCCTAATTACTCAGCTTCCACACAAATTCATGAGAAAAGGCTGCAGTGGCCATATCATCACTCTACCCAGAAGAAAGGAGCATGTCCACAGGCCCTGAAAACCTGAAACTTCCACAGGTTCTAGGGATTAGGAAAAGGAGGAGGAAAAAAAACCCCCAAACCCGTTAAAGGAGCAGAACCTCCATGTCCCAGCTCTGCAGCCCCGTAGGATCCAACCTAGCCATCGGGGACAGCTGCCTCATCCACCCCACGTGTTTTTTAATCAAATGTAAGTGCCTGTTAAGCAACAGATGTTCACTTGCACCAAAGCAAGAGATGATTATTATTTTAAAACCACCTAGTAGCTGGGCACTGAGCCTATACTCCCAGCTACAGGATGAGGTAGGAGGACTGCTTGAGGCCAACCTGGGCAACATAGTGAGACTCTGACTCTAAAAAATAAGATAGAGCCGGGCTCGGTGGCTCAGCCTGTAATCCCGCGCCTTTGGGAGGCTGAGGTGAGTGGATTGCCTGAGCCCGCGGGTTCGAGACCTGCCTGGGCAGCAAGACCTCATCTCTACAATAAATCAAAAACAAAAAAAATCAGCTGGGCATGGTAGCATATGCCTGTAATTCCGGCTACTTGGAAGGCTGAGGCGGAAGGATCGCCGGAGCCCAGCAGGTCGAGGCTGCGGTGGCCGGAAGCGGCCACTGCACTCCAGTCTGGGCGACCGAGTGAGACTCCAAATCAAAAAAAAAAAAGATAGAGGTAAGTGGATTGCCTGAGCCCACGGGTTCGAGACCCACCTGGGCAGCGAGACCTCATCTCTACAATAAATCAAAAAAATCAGCCGGGCGTGGTAGCACATGCCTGTGATTCCGGCTACTTCGAAGGCTGAGGTGAAAGGATTGCTGGAGCCCAGCAGGTCGAGGCTGCGGTGGCCGGAGCAGCCACTGCACTCCAGTCTGGGCGACAGAGTGAGACTCCAACTCAAAAAAAAATAATAAAATAAAATAAAATAAACAAACAAATAAAATAGTTCTTAGGTATCTTGCCTAGTAAAGAAACAAAAAAACACAAAACCCCACCTAACCGATCAATTAGAACAAATCCATGTGGTATAATATTACAGTGGAACATTCGAATAGATGTGAGATCAAAAGTGCAAACTATGAACCAGGCACAGTGGTTCACGCCTATAATCCCAGCACTTTGGGAGGCCAAGTTGGAAGGACTGCTTGAGGCCAGAAGTTCAAGACCAGCATAGGCAACGTTGAGACCTCATCTCTACACAAAATTTGTTTTTTTTAAATCAGCTGGAGGCCCAGCGCGGTGACTCATGCCTATAATCTTAGCAGTTCAGGAGGCCAAGGTGAGAGGATTGCCTGAGCCTACCTGTTCAAGACCAGCCTGGGCAACTTGGCAAAACCTCATTTCTAATAATAAATCAAAAAATTAGCTGGGCATGGTGGCGCATGCCTGTAGTTCTAGTCACTTGGAAGGCTGAGATGGAAGGATCGCCTGAGTCCAGCAGGTTGAATGAGCATGCCACGGCACTCCAGCCTGGGTGACAGAGTGAGACTCCAACTCAAAAAAAAAAAAAATTTAGCCAGGCATGGTGGCATAGGCCTGTAGTTCCAGCTACTTGGAAGGTTGAGGCGGAAGGATCACCAGAGCCCAGCAGGTGGAGGCTGCGGAGTCCGTGAGGGTGCCACTGCCTCTAGCCTGGGTAACAGGGTGAAACTCTGACTCAAAATAAATAAATAAATAAACAAACAAACAAACAAATAAATAAATAAAAGAAATGTGATTCTAAGACTCTGCAATATCCTCAAATACTTTTGGTGGAGAGCGAGGGGTGATGTGGACAAATCCTTAGGATTTTGCAAACATATGCCCTTTTTGACTCAGCATTCCACTCATGAAAAGGCCAGTCAAGCCGGGCTCGGTGGCTCAGCCTGTAATCCCACACCTTGGGAGGCTGAGGTGAGTGGACTGCCTGAGCCTGTG